GCGGGGCTGGGGCGGGGCCGGAGCGGAGCCGTGGCGGGGCCGTGGCATGACCGGAGCGGGGCCGTGGCATGACCGGAGCGGGGCTGTGGCGGGGCCACGGCAGGACCGGAGCGGGGCTGTGGCGGGGCTGTGGCGGAGCCGTGGCGCGGCGCCCCCTGGCGGCTCCGCTGCCGCCCGCGGGACCAGCGGAACTTTGAGCGCATCTCGGCGCAAAATGCGCGCTCAGAGAGGGCTCGCTCACCTCCGCGATGCCAAATGGCCAGCAGAAATGGCCAAGTAAGACAACACCGAGGTCTTTTGTACTTGAAGGACCCTAAACCATAAAGCACTATCTCCTTTCCAAACGCCATCAGGCCTTTGGACACTTAATTGCACCCACAAACACTTCATGAGCACCAGTAACTCCAGAGCACATGTACTCCGTGTATCTTAATTAAAACAGTGAGCAGGTGGGATGTCTGATAAATAAAACCATAACGTTCCTAACACAGAGTTCAGAACACCGACAAAGAGCTGTTTGACTTTCAATCACTTCTTTAAACGACAACAAAGTTTTACTAATAAATGATCACCTCTCTTTCCTACCTGTGCTGGAGTTTCAGGCCATATTCAGCTGCGAGGGTATTTTAAGCAAAAGTAAAATATGTTTAGAATCTGGGTTTTGGACAAACGCTTTATCAGATAGAAATTTCAGCACAAAGCATTCCCTTGCAAATATGCATGAAATTCCTCTGAAAAGTCTGGTTGGAAAATCTTTATAATCAGTATTTTGACGACACAATGCTGTTGATACACTTAAGTTACCTTCGTTCCTGCAGGATTCCTATATTTTCCAATAAAAACATTCCTCTCTAACAAGTCATCTCCGACTAAGTTCATTACACGAAGAAAAAATATTCAGCAAAACAAATATAACCTCAATTCGCCTCGCAAGAGAAAAGGCTCGGTAAGGAACAGCCTCTCCGGTACGAGCGCGGATCTTACCTCTTCAACTGTCAGAGGCATACAGATCCGGTACTCCTTCATGAGCATATTCCTGCTGCTCAGTGCGGACCGGCGAACTGGGAGAAAAGTGGTGATTTCTGCACAGAGATCACGACGGAAACCAAACACGGGGGGAAATAATCAAGCCTGTTTCTCTGTGCGCGCTTGACAATGTGTCCCCAAGACAGTAACGCAACCATCCAGGAAGGCTGACCCAGCGAGAAGAGAAACCACCACAACCGCTTCTTTCTCCCAGTTCTTCCTCCTTCACACTGCGATCATGGGAATCTCACAGACGCTCGCACCGAGATACACTACAAAGTCTCAAACCCCCACCGCTCTCGCCCCAGCCGAAGACATCCGTCGGAAGTGCATGGAAACGCCGGGCTCTCTCGCGGCTGTGTCAAGACATGCCTGGGGCGGCGAAAAGAACAAACGAGCCGAAAATGTGGCTTTCGCCCCCGCCGGCAGCACGTCGGGCGGCAGGAGAGATGCGATGCCGATTCCCAAGACAAAGGCTTTTTATAACGTTGCCTTCCCCGGCTGCCAAACGCGGCTCCCACCTCCCCGCCGCAACGCGGCTGCGGCCGCCGCGGCTCCCGCTGGGCTCGGGGGGGTACGGGGGGGCAGCGCGGCGCTCGGGCGGGCGGGCGGCCGCGGGTTCCCCGGCGCAGCCGCGGCCGGGGGTGCTCACGGGCGGACTCCGCGGGAGCGGAGCGGCTGCAGCGGCGGCGGCCCCGGCGGGGCTCGGCTGACATCAGCGGGGCGGCAGGAAGGAGGGAGGGGGCCGGCGGGGGGGCAGCGGCCGCCGCCGCTCGGGCGGGTTCAACGGGGCCGGGCCGCGGGGCTCCGGGCAGCGCTCGCCGGCGCCTCCCGGCAAGGGGACACCGGCAGCGTTGAGCCCCAAGAATTCGCGATTTCAGTTAATTCTGCCGTGAAGACTTCTCGGGTTTTGGAAGTTTATTACCCTACGTGCGACAAGGCACCTTGCATAGCATTTACACCCCCGTGCAGGAGCAGCGAGCCCGTGAGACCCGAGCTCGCACCCGCCTCCTTGGTACAAAAGGAAAGGAAAGGACAGCGTGCGCTCGGTGCGGACATACACAGGATGTGGAGGCCTCACCCATTTCCCTTCTGGTCAGCCCTCCGCTATCAGCCAGCTCGTTTTGCAGCACAAATAAACCCCTTTTTTCATATAGTTTTTTTACTTTCAAATGACACGCAGAAAGTTCAGTGGAAAAAAGCCTCCTTTCCTAGCTGAACTATAAAGGCAGAACCGTTTTAGGAGGTCTCCCCTACTCCTTTAGTGAGGAATTTGTTAGTGAAATCGTTTTGTAAAATGCTTGGGGGTTGTGTTTTTTACCCATAACTCGTTAAGTTACAACTTGAAATGCAAAGGAACCTAATTCTGAAACTACCTGGGAACCCTGAGCTGTTACATAACATCAGCATTTCATGTTTAAAATGCTCATCCTGCTGTTTCTCCTGTGTTCCCAGTGGCTTTAAAGCCAGTCACTGGATTGCAGAGAAGCACTGTAAGAGCAAAACATGAGGCACAGCACAGATAATGGTAAAATATACATCTGCACTTACATACCAGTTATTTGCAAGAAAATAAAAGCTTTGAAATACTGTATTTGGGACAGTTAAGGAGGAATTTAGGTCTACAATGAAATGTGTGTTTCATAACAAGAAAGAGCAAAAGCCCCTCAGAATTTCATTGGTTCTGGATGTACATTTCAGAGCAGTTGTCAGCCCAGAGGACACAGTGCCATCTCCTGGAGCCAACAGCGTCTGTTTGCCAGCCCCTTGCAATAATGGCACAATATTTCACATCTCTGCCTTCCCAGGGAAGTGCAAACACCTACACAAAGAAATAAAAAAATCTGAGAGCTCTATTAAAAGTCTGGATTTTCAACTGAGGCATGAACAATGTGTTTAATGAGACCTCTGTCTCAAATCTGACACAGCCATTTATAAATATAGAAACTGTGGCTGTAATTCACAATGTTGGTACTGTATGTTCCTGAAATTCCAAGCAAAATAGCAAAACCAAGGCAGTACCTTGTGATATCTCACTGCAGGAAGGACATTGAGATGTTGGAGCATGTCCAGAAAAGGGAATGGAGCTGGGGAAGTCTGGAGCACCAGGGGTGGCTGAGGGAGCTGGAGCTGGAGCCTGGAGAAAAGGAGGCTCAGGGGGAACCTTTTGGCTCTCCACAACTCCCTGACAGGAGGGGGCAGCCGGGGGTGGGGGGGTTGTCAGACTGCTCCCAGGGAACAAGTGATGAGAGGAAATAGCCTCAAGCAGTGCCAGGGGAGGTTTAGACTGGATATTGGAAATTTTTTTTCACAGGGTCATGAAGCATTGGAACAGGCTGTCTAGGGAGGTGATAGAGTCACCATCCCCAGAAGTGTCCAAAAAATGTTGTTTGGATGTGGCATCTGGAGACATGGTTTAGTAATGAACATAGTGGTGGTGCTTGGCTGACAGTTGGACTTGATTTTAGAAGTCTTTTCAACCATAATGGTTCTGTGATTCTGTGGTATTACCCACAGATGAGAGACAATCCAAATTCAGATGTAAAACATTCTTCAGTTTTGAGTGATTTTCTAGTGGTTTCTTCCACTGGGAACAATATTTCTGGTTGCTGAAACACATTGTAAAAGAACCTGAACTTCTTGGCCATAGGGCCTTGATGCTACCCAACTATAGGCAAGGACACTGATTTCAATAAAACCAGGAGAAAGACTTAAACTGGTTTATCACTTATAATGTGATTGCAACATGAAGCAAACCTTACAGCTCTGTGTACATTGAAAAAGCAGATCTGCAGAAAGCAGAGTGTCAAATATAGAACCTGCTTAAAATGGAAACCAAGATTAGTTCCCATACCTGTAGCAAAATATTCTCCGGTCACCCCAAACCACAGCTGTCTTGTGCTGATTGCACATGGGGAAAGCAGTGACCCCAAGGATATAACCCTTAAAACTCCCCACTGGGAGTGACCAGAGTTTCCCAAAGCACACTCCCCAAATGCTTCCCAGGAGACATGCTCCAGTATCTGCCAAGCATGCCTGCCTCGCTTTTGGGTTTTGATTTCCATGAATTGGCAGAATTTTTTAGTCTTACCTCTGCAACATGCTCTCAATGCTCTGTTATGGAAATGAGACATTTTTCACTTGTTTTTCATTTCTGACCTGGGGGGAAAAAGCCCAAATGTTAAATTATGCTGAGTATGAACTCCAGATGGACTTGTGTCAGCAAAGTGTCACTTCAGAGTAAGAGACAGTAAAAGCCAAGCTGTTTCTTAGGGTGTTTCACTAAGGACTTTTGAATAAGAATTTAGTTTCTTTTTTAGCCACTCAGGGATTCTATATCGAAGCCAACAGCTGCCTCCTCATTTCCCAGCATACCCATGCAGGTAAAGGAAAACAACAATTGCAGAAGGCATTTATTTTCTTCTTTCACTCATCTGAACCAAATTACTGTGTATGGGACTATGTTCAATTAGACTAGCATGTGACTTTTAACCTCCCTGGAAGCCATCACTCCCAATCCATCACCTGTAAAAATATACTAATATTACCATGAGCTAAAAAAAATGAAATTGTAAAAATAAAAGCTCTGTAAAAATTTGTAAATGGACAGAGTTAGGGAAGAACAACTGATGTGCTCTGTGTGATACCTGCATATATTTTCAGTACTTAAATCAAATGAAATTAAGTAAAAATGATAATGGATAAATTCTGTTACCAGACTTTTCAAATCAAGTTTATGTTCAAACAAAAAGTGATTCAAAACCCATGGTCTATGCTATGCTATTGGAAGGCATGTATCAGACACAGTTGCAAAATACAGTAGTGGAGTTCTGAATTCACTTAATTGAGTTTGCACCAGTGCAGCAGATGTAGGAACTCAGTCTTAATTCTGTCAACAAAAGATTTAAACCAGTTATCTCATCAAATGCCCCTTTGCCACATTAACATGTTGGTTTGTGTACAATATGATCTGAAAGTAACACAAACCAAAATGTAATTTCATGGCAACCTCCTCTTTCTGGAAATCCTAAATAACATCCAAAGATTCCCATGGCAGGTGGTTGGAACTAGACAATCCAAACGTCCCTTCCAACATCCAATCATTCTGTGATTCTAGTTCAGGGTGTTCCCTATTTTAGGTGTTTGCTTGCACACACAAGGGAGTTTTTCTGAACTTCCCCAGTGAATGAAGCTTCTGTAGCATACGAAATTGTGTTGGGAGATGATGGCAACCTGCATGCAAGGCGTTGCACCAACATCTCACAACTTATCAAACGCATTGATGGTGCAACGCAGTCTAGATCAGGATTCTTGTGCTATTAAAAACCATGGTGTATCCTACCTTTCCCCCACCTCTCCAGCAATGATGATGATTCTCCAGGTGATGAAAAGACTCAAGGTTGAGTGAGATACAGTGAAATCCCCAAGGTGAAATCAGCAGCTACAGAACCCGGTGTGCTCCACTGCGGCCACACCTGACGCGTCCCCACAGCCCGGCTGTCCCCAAATGTGGAACACAAATCCCCCCTCCTCCTGCTTCACCACCCTCCAGCTCCGAGAAACACCGGGGCTGTGGCAACTGTGCCGAGCCCCGCGGCCGTACTGAGGGGCACGCTGGGGGCCGCGACTGCACTCCTGGATTTGTCACTGGGGGGTGTCACTGGAGATGTCACCGCCACGTCTGGCACCAACTCACAGCTCCCCTTCCTGGGTGCTGGGGAGTCCCCCGGCCAGACTGGGGCGGATTGAGGGGCAGATCCATTCAGAGGGGCAGATGGCGGGCCGGGTCCCCTGAGAGGGGCGGATTGAGGGGGGAAACTCAGGGGAGCAGGTTGAGAGAAGATCCTCTGAGAGGGGCGGATTGAGGGGCAGATCCCCTCAGAAGCGCAGATCGCCTCCGAAGAGCGGATCGCAACCCCGGTCCCCTCAGAGGGGCGGTGGGAAGGGCGGGTCCCCTCAGAGGCACCTCCCCCCTGCGGGTCCTGAGGCTGCCGGGGGTGGCCACAGCAGTGCCTGTTTGCCGCGGCGCGGGGCCTTTCGGCGGGGCTGCCCCGGCGCGCCTGCGCGCGGGCCCGGCCGGTTCCGGTGAGCGCTGAGGCGGCGGAGCGGGCGGACATGGCGGAGGGCGGCGCGGAGCGGGCCGATGGCCGCATTGTCAAAATGGAGGTGGATTACAGCGCGACCGTGGACCAGAGGCTGCCCGAGTGCGAGCGGCTGGCGCAGGTGAAGCGGGAGAGGAGCCTGGCGGGACGGACGGGCTGAGTCATGGCGCGCTAGGCCGCGCGTGGAGGCGGCGCGGAGCGACCCGCGGCCGCATCCTGCCCCAAGATGCGGTGTTGACGGGTCCGGTCGCGGGCTCTCCGTGCCGTGCTGAGGAAGGGAAGGAGTGGACGGCTCCGTCGTTTCAGGGCTGTGTGGAAGGGTGGGCAGGATGGAGGTTCGTGGCCGAGCACTGAAACTGCTTTCCGAGGCAGTGGTCACGGCCCCGTCCCTTCCAGAGCTCATGGAATATTTGG